GCTCGGTCCCCGGGGCCCCCCGCACCCCCCAGCCTGCCCCTGCCTCGGCGTCTGCTGGTGGTTGCCGCTTGCTTCGCCTTCAGCGCCCCGGCTTGTTGCTGCCTGTTGCCGTCACTGACAATGGAAATTCCTGTCGTTGCCATAGCACCGGGGCACTTGTTGCGAGGGGTGGGGGTGGGGGGGGGTGTTCCCTCTGCAGCTTCCTCCGATGCCTGTTAACCCGTGTGAAGAGCAGATTGGGAGGGGGGAGGACAACTGAAAATAATGCAACTTCTGTATTTCAGATTTCAGGTACTCAGACTCCACCTTTACCTTCACCTACATCGGAGGCTCCAAAAGGTACTTTTCTCTAATAAGGATTCTCTTCATATCCGGTTCTCTGCATTGTGTCTCCATAACATCCTTTTCTCTCTCTCCCACCTCCTTCTTTTGCAATAGCAAAATATTGAGCGAATGATTAACGTATTAAGGAATAAATATTAACCTGTGAAAAATAGACTTGTGTCTGAACAGGTGATCAGTGGGGTGAGGCTAGTCATCAGAGCATCGTTCCTCTGACTGCTGCTTTGTTCAGTCCCTGTCTTCATTTTTTATTTCTGTCCATGTGTAGAGTTATCACAAGGAGCAAACTCAATGAGAGAGAGAAAGAAGCAGAACCTCAAATGCAAGGTGTTAGCATACTTTACAATGATCATGGTGGCCAACAAAGGAAAATAGGCCAAATTCTACTGTATTACATCAGCACAAATTCATATGAAGTTCATATCACAGCATTTTGTCCAGTGATAGATGCAAGATCTTTTGCAGTACTTCAAATAAAAGTGTAGAGAAATGACATGTAAATGTCACTAAAGTTTATGATGCTAATAACCATCTTTAAAACACTGAACATACAATTGAATATTGCTGCTAAGCACTCTTTAGTTTATTCACAAATTGAGTTGAATATGTATGAATATTAATTATTATTGTTCACATAGGGGGTTATAGTTGTATTGGTTCTCCAGCTGCAATTCATTAGGTTGGGTTCCATGCAACTCTGTTTTTAAAGGAAAACATATTTTAAATAACCAACCATTGGGAAATGTTTTGTTTGTTTCTTGAGTTTATTCTGCATGTATTTGTTAGGTTATCCTTTTGTCATTTACCTTTTATCACCTACTCTAATCTTACCATATATACAGAGAGGTCTTTTGGCTTGGGTCTATTTAACAGCTCAGAATTTCATTTCCCTGGACACATTGGCTTGAAATGCCTTATTCTGTACTCTGATCTTTGCAGGTGAACCCCTGCACCCCCCAAGCAGAGCTCCCTTGACACCATCTGAGGTTCTGCATAGGCTCAGGCAGTACACTTACAGAGCCAAGGTGGTAATTGTACACAAGTTTGTAAATCGCTTAGGAATGCTTATTTATCACAATCATGGCTTGTATGCATTCCCACTGAAGGAAGTAGAAAAACTCCAGTTGCCTTCATTGCAAACAGGCCAGGAGTGAAAGTAGAAGTAAAGTATTAGCAGGTTGCTTAAACCCCAAATTAAGGAGTTTAATTTTAAAATTTGTTGTGTTTAATTTTGTTCTAAAACAAGTTTCAGTAAGACTAGTTTATACTAGAAGAATTATTGTTATGGCAACCTTAATTTGGAGGTAAACAAGCCTGTGCAGTGCTTGTAGCCTAAACATTGCAGTGTCAAATCAGGAAGTGAAACTGACTGACTATAGTTCCATTGTTCAAGCTGAATGAAATAAAAACGGTGACATTGCGTAAGGAATGGAAAGTAAACTAGATTTATAGAAATGCTTCCACTTACAGTAATGAAAGTTCTAGGATGTTCTTACATTTCCACCCCGGCATCTGGAAGTTATAATACATGGTTTCAGCAGGCTCTGCTATTGCTTGGCAAACTGCTGCCCTAAAAGTAGTTGCAAGATGTGGAAAATTCAAATAGAACTCAAAGCCTAATGCTGTTCCTAGAGAAATTGATGAAAGTAGGTTACATTGCGCATACTCAAATGTTACCTTCCTTTTGACATTTTAGGGACACTTAAAAATAATCAGTTGCTTAAAATAAAGGCTTCACATTGACTTCTTATCTTTACTCAGATTTTTAAAAAAAATTATAATTTCCATTGCACACTGAGATGCATAGGCAGCATGGTTTATTGGAGTCTAAATGTTTACTAAGACAGGAAGGGTAAAATTCTCATACGTCAAGCTGGCATGAGCAAGTGGGCTTTGCTGAAGGGAACTGTGCATAGTTGCAAGGAATGTAGTTCTGTAATGATCTAACCCGGAAACCGGGGCTTAAAACAGCTAGGCGGCCATAATGGCAGACTCCATAGAAGATTGTAATAGTGGTTTGCCACGTGCTTTTCGGGGATAGATTTCCTCCCAAGATCTATGTGGACTTTATGGCCATATTTTTTGTAAGCCTGGCCACTGACCTCATTCCTGC